CAGGGCACGGCTAACTTTGAGATACACCTGCAAACAACCTTTGGGCTGATCTAAAACAGGGCACGGCTAACTTTGAGATACCTCTGCAAACAACCTTTGGGCTGATCTAAAACAGGGCACGGCTAAATAGAGGTACAAAAATCATGAATCACACACGACTAAAGATTGAAGTAAAAGTACTGTTTTCATTTTAAAACAAAGACATATAAAATAATGAAGGCTGCGATATTTATAGGATAGAGGAAACGTTTATACGATATATTAAGAACAGTAAATATGTAATATATATAGAGTAATAATAKAACCACAGAAACTGAATGTGTTCTATTATAAACTTTTTTTTATCCAAACTCGCCCTTTTTGAGAAGAGATTCAATGGGAGGGAAGAGAAGGAAGGGAGGAGAGGAGATTATAGGAAAGAAGAGGAGAGGAGAGGAGAGAGGAGAAACGAGAAGATGCAGCGAGTATGAGAATCAAAATTGCCGCACTAAACTACATTGCAAAACGAAACTAGCCGTGTAATGCGTTGTACGAAGCGTCATCATTGATTCATCTTTGTATTGAAAAAAAAAAAAAAAAAAAAAAAATCCGATTTTATTTTTATCTTTCACTTCTATCTAAATTGGGCGCGTTTTATCTAAAATGTGCGTGTTTTATCTAAATTGTGCTTGTAACGTGGCTTTTACACATGATGGATCTCAGATACCAAGAAAAATCGTAGGAAAAAGGTTCATTTTATTTTGGCATAATTTCTTCATTTGTTAAGATATGAACAAGCAATAAACCTTTTAGCTTTTTCAAGCGTAATTAGAATGAGTATAGCTAACAGCGAGAGCATATGTTCGAATGTTCTTACCTCTCGTCCCGATAAGAGATTCCTCATGAGCCCCAGTGCCTTCATAACTACATCAGTATCAGGGTCTTCTAACAGACTGGAATCAGATGAGCTTGGTGAGTTTGAAGACGTTTTGGTATGCGTATGAAATGTCGTGGTTGTATGGGTAGATGGAATAATTTATTGTCGGTCAGACGAATAGATGGTTGGAATGGATGAAAGGATTGGTGCATGGATGGATAAATGGATGGGAGGATTGTTGGATAGAAGGATTGAAGCATGGGTGGAAGGATGGAATGGATGGATGTGTGGGATGTATGGGAGGATTTTTGGATGGATGGACGGAAGCATGGGTGGGTGGGTGGGAAGGGATGGATGGGATGGATGGAATGGGATGGATAGATGGAATGGATGGGTGTTAAGGATGGATGGATGAATTGATAGATGGAATGGATAGGTGCATGTGATGATATGGATGAAAAGATGGAATGGATGAATAAACGAAATGGATGGGTGTTATAGGATAGATGGATGAATTGATAGATCGAATGGATAGGTGCATGTGATGGAATGGATGAATTGATAGATGGAATGGGTGGGTTCATGTGATGGAATGGATGAATAGATGGAATGGATGGGTGTTATTTATAGGATGGATGGATGAATTGATAGATGGAATGGGTAGGTGCACGTGATGGTATGGATGAATGGATGGAATGGATGCGTGAGATGGAATGGATGCGTGAGATGGAATGGATGCGTGAGATGGGATGGATGAGAAGGCATGGGTAAACGAATGGAAAGCAATTTATTGCCACTCTGTACCTGAATAAGTGTGCGGGTCCCAGTACCTCCATAATCTTGTTTTTGGTTGTTTCATCTGCTTGGTAGGCCATGTTCTTTTGTAAAAAGTAAAGGATAAACAAGTAAATTAACGTGGACATGCTAATCAACAAATAGAAAACAAAAATACGAATGTAATCATTTAGAGCACTTTGGAATGACTGTGAAAAGCTCACGTCACAAACACGGTCGCGACAAGGCAAGGGATACGCCAGAACAATCACATTGCACGAGAATTTACTATCCATCCAATCAAATACCCCGAACACGGCACGAACACGGCACGAACACGGCGCGGACACGGTCACGAAACGTCACGGCACTGTCAGACCAATCACATTGCTCGAGAAAAAAAATCAGCAAATTAAAATTCTAGAAAACATCACGGTCACGACACTACACGCTGACGGCACTGAGATTTTTACAGTCATGCGAAAACTGCTATAACTGAGTTCTAAGGCGTGCTCTATATCTTTTTCTCAATATGGACTTTCATACGAAAAACAAAACGCCCTTGTTATTTTACAAAAGYCATATTTCCGCTCGTGTCGTGGTTTTTCAGTTTCTCTGAGCATCCCATCCCTTTTTGTTTAGTTACCATCAGCGCCCAGATGCCATTCAGTTTCAAKGATTTTTCTGATCTTCTGGTTAAACTGGCCAATAATACCACCGCACCAGCTTCTAGGATTGGCTGAAATCAAAGGAATGTAATGCAAGCAATTTAACGAAACAGAGAAAAATCTAATAGGGTCGTGATAATGAGATCGTCGAATAATTGCTAAATRATTGGTTATTTGTATTGGTAATATGCCAGTAAGAACACTTTTACCAGGTATCAGTACTCACGAAGCTCAATTACCTCTTTACTCGGTGAAAATTCAAGCAACAAATTGCACAGCGCCGATGAGCAGACAGTTAACATTCCTTCATCAGCATTGTTCATTATCTTGATTATAGGCTTCCAGACAGCCGTGTCCTGAAAGCTTGTCCTTAACTGCTGTACTGACCGAGACAGGCTGTGAAGGCATTTGACAGCAGCTAGTTGGACGTGAGGATTGGGGTCCTCTAAGCCTGTCACTACATGGTCCATTGTACTATCATTTTCAATTATCTGGACATGTAAATAAAAAACAATGTTATCAAATAATAATTATTATTGTATAAATTCATAAATCATTAAATCAATCATTATCATTATGAGTGGATTCGCGTTCTGATTGGTTGAGAGCGCGTGCATTAGAGAGCACAAATATTCGCGTGCGTCGTGCTTTTCCTAACACTTCTCTTATGCTCTCACCAATCCTCCCGAGCTTTATAACTATACACCGCACGCGCACGCGCTTCTGATAATAGCTGTAAAGAGAAGATTTATCAAAACGAAGCAAGATTTCTTGAATGAACTTGGCATGTTAGATCTATTGTCCACACAAAAGCCTCAAACACATTCATCATGTCAAGTTTATTCGAGATCACAATTAGAAATGACATCGAGATCACAAAGGTCACGAGTTCGAATCCCGTTCTTCTGGCTCCAATTATTCACAGCAATTTTACACCGTATTCAATATTTTATTTTGACGTCACTATCATGCTGCCGAAAGGCCAACTTCATTTATTATTTAGAAGTGACATATTTTAAGGAATGGAACTTGGAACTTTGCCTTACCTTCTTACGAATATTTTCATCAGTTGCTCCCAGTGAAGCTAAAGCTTTGAAGGCACTCTAAACACAAATAACCAAAGATTAAATGAATAAATGAATAAATGAAGGAAGGAAGGAATAAATGAGCCTATTAGCTTCTGTATAGAAGTTTTAAGATGTGATGTAGTTCCGGGTCCAGCTACTCACAAAAACTGCTAAAATAAATGAAGAAAATATGAACTCTGTGATTTAACCTCCAACAGAAAGAATGAAAACTTCATTTCTTCTTAGAGAAGTATTTTAATACCCTTCCTCCCCACAAGCACTGTTCCCTTACCACTCTTATCAAAGCACAGGTATCATTATCCATATCATT